TAAAAACATACATCGTCTGTCTCCATGGTTCCTGCTAAGGCAGTGGTTGCCCTCAGAGTATGCATTTAAGTGTGCCATCTAAACCTCCACGGCTGATCTAACGCAGGATGATGTTTACCCTCGAGACCGCGCTGGCGGGCAGGAGAGCGAGAGATGCTCGATGAGTTTTCTTGAAGAGTTAGGTCACCCAACCAATGAGTTTTCACTGTCTAAATTTTAGGGCACAAATCATTTTGAGGAATTTCCATTTGCACCGCAGTCACCGTGTGGTACACCGACGCCGCAGAAGGTGACAGAGCATGGGATAAATCATCCTCCTGATGATATGTATTGCAGGATAACTGTAGTTACCAGAGGCAGCAGCCGCTTTATCAGTCCCAACAAGGCCTTTAGCATCTCGGGATGAAGAACACACAACTTCCATTCAGTAACAAAGTGCTGCTAATCTCTCTATTCATTTTTCATTGTGAAAGATACTGCGCACACGTCGCTTCAGGGAGCGTGGCCAGGGAGAATGAGATGCTGGAAAGAAAGAGGGGGAGGAGGGAGAGAGGTAAGTACAGTAGGTACATGTGGGTGGTGCACTATTGTCAACAATAAATATTTGCTAAGAAGCAGGTTGATTTATAGGAGGTGACGCAGTAACAGCTGCTTATATGACAGGGATTCACAAGCGGAATAAATACATTAACCTGGTTAACTATTGAAAAGCATCCATCTGGAGGGAGGGGTGTTTGTATGTGTAAGCAGGCCCGTATCTGCCTGCGTGAGCGAGACTGCTACACGAGATCAACAGTTTGGCTTTGAGCCCTTTTGTACTGCCAACGTGTGGCACGATGAATGGAAAACTAAGCTGAAGAAGAAGCGCTTAACCAGCCATGGCAACGACTGGCAAGCTGTGGCAGTGTGTCGCAATTGATCAAGCACAATGCCACATTAGTGCGCATTAACTTCTGCTATATCAAGGCAGTTAAGCTAATTGCACTGAAAGGTCAGCTGGCTTGAGTGGGATACACATTTCCGTATCACACTGCTGCGGCAACAGCAGGATGCAAAAGAAGAATAAAAATTAAAAAAATACATCTTCCTCTTACATGTACCTTTGAGCTCGTTGTTTTGCTCTTCCAAACACGCAACGGTCAAATCCCACTCACAGTAACATATTCTGTTTTGTTCCACACCTCCTCAGTCTCACTGCACTTTCCACAGATTTTTTTCTCAACTCGCACACAGCAAAACAACACAGACAGAAGTGCTTAATCGAGTATGAGGAACAGTCTTTTAAATTGGGGTGAGTGATATATGACACATAAATGAAACCAATTATTGATTGAACTGAAGATACCTTATCAAGTCTCTTACGCGTCTGATCCTCATTTATCCCTCCTAATTACATATTGATGTTTTTATTCCTTTCTATGCAACTCAACTGTGATGAAATCTGTATAATAACAATGGTTCATTAACACTCCCTTTCCACCTGAATGCCTGTATCATGATGAAAACGATCTAATTAAATGATTGTGTTTATCTGCAAAGAAGCTTTGATCTTAAATAATCAACTCTGAAACTAATATGGTTTTAAACAATATGTGTTTGTTAATCAGATTTTAAAAATGCTATAGTCAAAGGTAAAAGATGTATTCAATTTGATTGATTGTCACTGTGAATATGAAGAGAAACTTTATCAGGTGGCCAGAGACAGAGCGACAGAAAATCTTTCTTCTTCGCCCACAAGGCAAAGCATCTATTAATAGAATATTTCACATTATAAAAACAACATAGAATGTTGTTAAATGTGTTAAAAGGTTATATGCTTTGTTTTGTGGCTCCAGAAGGATCTAACAGAATGGAGTAACAGAGAAAAATGGACACAGATCTTAAAAGTGAGGCTAAGACAGAAGAGACTTTAACACACTTTCCAGTAACCAGCAGATGGCTAGTCTGGTTGCAAAAATGATTCTGGCTTCTGACACTGCAGCATGATGTTAATTTTACAAGTTAAGGTCTCATTTAGAGTAAAACAGCCAATAAATCACTATACTTTAGGGCCTGGCTATATCATGGTTGACAAGTTAGTACTCAATGGAGCCCTTGTTTGTTCAGTGTTCAGTGTCAGTTTTTCTTTATTAACCCTTTTTTCAACTTTTTTTATTTCGATTTTCTCATTTTGCTGATATGGGATGTATTTTAAAAATAAAATAGTCTAATTAATATCCCAATGAACAACAGATGCATCTTGCTAACCAAGATAGTTAGCTAGAAGTCAGGGCTTTTTCTTTAAGCATTATCCAAATTAACTTTGATTTCAGCGGTCACCAGGGCAACAGCTTAATTGAAAATAAGTATTTTTTCACTGGCTGGGGCCTTCTCTATCAACTCTCTTGTCGAAATATGGTTACTATGAGTTAAAAAAAAACAGATCACAACTCAAATGATAAACTTTGTTATGTCCATCACTTATGTACAGTCTGTTGTAGATACACGGTTAAAATTAATTAGTTATTTTTAATATTTAACAAAAACTAAGCCAAACTGCACAAGTAGTGCAATAAAAACTAAATGCATCCTTACTGGTTCCATGGGAAACAATGACCCTTTGTTATATGAACATATGTTGTTGTTCATTTAAGGCTTATTGACCTTTTTAATAAATGGTAAGAACTAGATCATTTTGATGTCTTTATTTGAAACCTTAAAATTGAAGGAGGGTGCACTTTTCTTTTACCGTGACTGTAGACATCACACTCCAGCATTTTAAAACCGAAACCTCAGTAGCACGGTTTTCTAAATTAAAAACAATAATTAAATATCTTTATTTTAATGGCATAATCATGTTTACCAGTAGCAATTTATAGCATGGAGCTATGAATCAAGCTTTATCAAGGAGTAAAACATGCCATGAAAATAGAGGTTATTTAAATGATTATATTATAATTGGAGGTTTGAAGGGGAATCACAGCTTCTACTCAAAGACTTATTTTTTTTAGTCCCAAAGCGTTTGACTAACATATTGTAGAGGCAAAGGGCTCGTGAGTTAATTACCTGCAACTTCAATTTTCTTTCATTTTCCTCTTGAACAGAACAAGCCCACAGGGATGCACATTTTGAGGAAATTTGTGTAACATGAGCAATTACCTCTCCCTAATTGAGCTGCTGTTGGAAAATAAGTGAAACTTTCCTTCCTGAAGTCACAACAGTACAAGAATGAGACGTAAATGTTTACTGAGGAGTCAATGCCTCAATCGTCCTGTCATGCCACATAAAGATGGGCAGCTTAATGCTAGTATGAAGTAGCCCACGACTTCTTGATTTAATACTGGCTCAGTCACCCTTAACACAGACAAATTTTCTCTGCCTCTGCTTCTCTGTTGATTTTAAAGGGCCAGGATATGAATGATGCAAATTGCTACGTGTCAGAAAGTTTTCTTAAACAGAGAATGAATATGCATAAACCAATTAGATGCATGAATCAGGTTTTTAAGAAGAAAACTAAAGCAGGCAGCCTATAGATTAAAGTGATAGAAAATGCAAGTCAATACTGTGAATTTAAGATATGAACAAAAACTAATACTATGTGCAATAACTTGAACACTTTTCATTTACACATTTACTTTTTTCTTCTTACATCGGATTGTATATTTGTACATTTTTTTTCTGTTAATACTGTTCATATGTATATAGTGCTGCAGAACTGTGCAGCCCCCCTTTCATGTTTGCACTGAGTTGGAGATGCTCTGTATCTCATTGTAAACTGTATAGTGACAATAAAGTCATTCTATTCTAAAATAAGTCACGAAGTAACGAAATACTTAGATCCACATACTGTATAAAACAGATGGACAAAGAGTATAGAAATCATGTTAAACTGCATTCTTCTGGCCAGCAGGGCCAGTTTCTCTGGTTTATCTACTGTAAACACCTTCCTGGTGAGTTCATGGTGTCAAATTACAGTTTCAAGCCTTATTACAATGAGATTTTTTTTAATTTATTTTTTAAAGATAATAAAAAAAAAAAAAAAAAAAAAAAAAAAAAAAAACTAAAAAGGTTCTGATTAGAGTCAAGAATAAAGCAAATTAGTCTTTAGAGTGGGCCCATATGATAGCATGTTTCAAAAGAAGCATGAAGTCCCAAGTCAGTGAGAAAAAAAAAAAAAAAAAAAAAAAAAAAAAAAAAAAAAAAAAAGCTCCCTTCCTCTTAAACTAGATCTGACAACATTGTATCTTACTCAGTTATATAGTATGTATTCTTTTTATTCTATTGTATATAGTATTTTATTCAATTGTGTACATTTATGTACAGTATCCCATTCTTATCCGATTCTAGTGTTTTATTTTTTGCTATGTAACTTTCCACTGTAACAAAACAAATTTCCCACCTATGGGACTAAAGGTTATCTTATCTTAGTTTTAGCCTACAGCTACATCATCCACTCCACCCAAATTGAAGGACCGGTTTTCCCCAAGTAGACACAAAAAGCAGCTCCGTTTCAGCTTTCTGTCAGTAATATTGTTCAACCTGAAATATGAGTATGCTGACTGGTGATAGGCCTGCCTTGACCATGTGACAGTCTATTTTTATGGCTCCAAAAGAAGCAGCCCGCTGAGGTTCACCTTAGGGGAGAATTAATATGTTGTGAGCTTTGCGGCTGCTAGACCTCCATTATATCCATCTCTTGTGTTCCAACAGTTTCACCTGTGACAAACTGTGCACCGCCTTACTCGCTTTCCCTGCAACACCACTGTTACCTTGGCTGCAAGATCCTTCACTTTGATATGTGGAAGTAGTGCTGAGTAAAATTTCTATTGCCCTTTCAATCAGAATGACCTTCATATATCTGCCAACAGTTCCAGTTCTCAAAGCTACTAACTCAAGGAACTTTTCCAGCCGTTTCTTTTGCAAGCTCTGCTGACACTGTATCAGATCAATGAATCCAATTATAGCCAATTCATAGCATTGTATATTGAATACAGGAGCTGGAAAAAAAATAAGAACAGTGGTTGCAGCTTTTCAGCATTTATTGCACCATCCTCAACCTTTACATTACATACACAACACTAAATACACTATTTTAGCTTACACATAAATAACGCTAAGTGTGAATTAATTAGATAAACTTATTACAAATCCAAGAGTTAGGGACGGTCACATGTCTTGATGTTACTACTTAATGGTACGAGAGACAGATCCATCAAAAATGTTAATACCTGTGTATTTCATTTAACAAGGAAAAAAAAATAATAATAAAATAAGGAAATGTGCATGATACCCAACAAATGTACACCACCTTTCTGTGAACAAACTGTATTCAAGTTGTAGTCCACCTAGAATCTGTTTAATTATCAAATACTCACTTGCTGTAGGTGACAGAAAGATGTTTTTCCCCCAATAAAAAGCAACAGCTGTTATTAAAAAGATATAAGCCTACAGAAAGTGAGCATTTGATACACAAAGAGATCTTGGGACAACTGCATTAACTTAGGCTTGTGACAATTCATCTAAAAGCAGGAAAGCTTGATAAATAGCTTATTAGAGTCAAAAGAAATTATTAAAACTCTCCCACGTCCACCCTCTTGTCTCTGAACTTGCTTCTGGCCTTGGTCCGAGCCTTGAATGCAGCAGAGTTGTGAAGATGCTGGAACAGAAAGAATTTCAAGCGTTCATTAATAAAATGCCACAAAACTTTGAAAGCATTGATACTTTTAAGCTTACAAGAACACCACAATGGTTTAAATGAGCCTTCCTTGCACACCTACCCTTTCAAAGCGAGAGATTTTCATGGCCTTCATGGTGGCTGAATCAACCAGCATAGGTGGTCCCAGTTCAAACACGTCTCTGATGAATTCATTTGCCTAGTTGGAAAACGTTAACAAAAACGTCAAGTCCAGTCACTAGCGCAAAAGAAAGACACTAGTTTATCACAAACTCCTATTGTACATAAAGTGTTTCTAATAAGATACCTGTAGGTGGTAGTTCATTCCAGAGCCCACGAATTCTCTGAAGGCATCGTATGTCCTCTTTCTGACCCAGCTGTCAATGTTCATTCGCTCTGTGCCAAAGCGAATGGTCTCAGATTGGAAGGCCCCCTCCTGGAAGAGAAAGCAATACAAATAAGTCCACGGTCAGACACCATCATTCACTGTCTCTACCTCCAAGGAGCTGCTGTTAAGTTTTACCTCTGTTCAATTATGTTGGTTAAAAGCAGGAAATTAACATCCAACTGGCAAAAGGAACATGGTTCACCTGACATGTAGCGCTTACCTCAACAGCTTTGAGAACATCCCTAAACACCGAGCGCTGCTTCCTCTTGTCAGTCTTGGCTCTGTGCTTGTTGCAGTCTGTGGCCAACGCGTTCAGTTTATCACAAAGTTCATCCCAGCCATCAAATTCAAAATCCTAAATAAATGCAGTGGGGGAAAAACAAATAAATAAAATATGCAGCTAATGTGTTTTAAAAAAAAAAAAAAAAAAAAAACACACACCACACAGACAGCAGGGCTCTAGAGTGCGACCAAACTTCTCCATGGTGCGACTCATTTTTAAAAAAATAAATAAATAAATAAAATAAATAAACACTTGGTCGCACCGGTGCAACCAAGTATTTTCTCGGAAAAAAACGTTTCAGCAACCCTAAAGTCTTCGTGTGTTCAACAACAGACACACATTATGCCCATGTCGTGTTCTAAACCAATCAGAGATACTCAGAGGCGGGGACCTCTGTGATTGGCCATGGTCCAGATATTCCTGCAGACCTACTTGTGTTTACGTTTGAAAGTGCGGGCAGATAGAGAAGGGTGAGTAGCCCAGGTCAGAAGTGTATCAAGTTGGTATTGAGAAAATATGAAAAGAACAATTGATAACTTTTTTGTTAAGTTAAGGCCTGATCAGTCCAAAATTCTGAGCCAGCGCTCTGACACGGAGCCATCAACCTCTCTGTTTTTGTCAAACACTGGTCCGGAGACGGCATCAGAAAATGAGCCACATAGATCGACTCCCAGCCGGAGTCCACTGAAAGTAAAAGTGAGAAAATGTATAAATTTCAATTCGAGTGGCTTGACCAGTTTCCCTGGCTAAGATACAGCCAAGCTGACAATATGATGCACTGCATTTATTGTCGCGAGTGTGGAGAGATCATGGCCGGCAACACTGCATTTGTCACTGGTGCTAATACGTTTCGAATTGAAACCCTGAAAAAGCATACAGCATTGAGAAGACACATTATATGCCGCGATAAATGCTCTGCCAAAATGTCCCCGCTCCCCACTGCCTTTCAGCGGCAGGCAGGAGTAAACAGGTCATCGGAGGAGGCCGAGATGATCATTAAGTTTAACATTGCCTACAATATTGCAAAAGAAGAAGTTCCGTTTACTAAGTTCAAGTCAGAAATAACTCTTCACAAGAAAAATGGCTTGGACATAAACCCCACATACAGCAATGATGTTGCGTGCGCCCAGTTTATAGGCGTAATCGCTGACACACTGAAAAAAAAGAAGTCAGTGGAAATTGCGAACAGTACATACATGGCCTTCCTGATCGATGGAGACGCAGACATCGCCACAAAAGAATGTGTCATTGTGTACGCTCGTATCTTGCAAAAAGGAAGACCAGCGAAAAAGTGATTGGACACATTGAGGTCCAGCATGCCCATGCCCAAGGTAAGCCATGTCATGTCACGTAGCCTATGTATATGATTAATAATATTACGTTGTGTTACTGAATTAACCATATCTAGCATATTCTTATCATTGAAAATTAAACATAGCAATAATACATGAATATAGAAACTCAAACTGAAAAAGACTGCATTGTAAACTCTTGATCTGATAAGTAAATGGTATATTTTTTAATTTGTTTAGGAATTTATGCTGCCTCAAAGAAAGCATTTGCTGCTCTTGGGGACCAGTGCAGTAACTGGTTGGATAAAATCATTGCTATGGGGGCTGATGGAGCTGCTGTTAATTTGGGCAGCAAAGGGGGTGTCAAGTTAATCATTTTGAAAGGTTGTTAGTTAATCATTTACAAATCAAAAAACGTGAACATGTAAAACTGTGGTGTTAAGTAATGCGGTTAAAAAAAATTTGGGTACACCTAACTTTTGTGCTTGTACGCCTAAATTTTGTGCTGGTGCGCCTAAATTTTATTTTTAGGCGCACCACTGCAACCATGGCAAAAAGTTAGTCTAGAGCCCTGGACAGAATATCCGGCTCCTCTGGGGCAGGCCAGCAATCTCAACTAAGAAATCCTGGCATAGCATTGTTATGGACTGTATTCCCAATGAATATATAACTTGTATGCTCAACTCCATCTTGGACTCTTTCAGTTTGGGGCTTTCCCCAAACTGAATTAATTTGCCTGACTATTGATCTTACTGTGATTTGTTTTGACTCCTGGTGGGGTTGCGGTTTACCTCAACTGCCTTGTATGTGCCTCATAATGTTGTATTGCCTGAGCTAAGTTCAGTTCTGGTTCTTGTGTACTTTTTTTAGTCATTGTCTGCTACTATTGGGGGAAAAAAAAAAAAAAAAAAAAAAAAAAAAAGCACAGACAGGACGTGCCACATGTTAACATTTGAATTAACAAAAGAAATTAACTTTAGGATAATCTGGTGTTGGGGAAATTAAACAGCAATTGCAAACTTACAGAATCGATGTCCCTGGCCAGCTCAAAAAGCAGAGCAATAGTCTCCCCAGCTGCAATCCTCATGTTCACGTCATCACTCTCGAGCAACCTCTGCAGTTTAAGAAGGTGTCTGCAAAACACATAAGCAATTCTTACTCCACTTAACTTGGTTGGAGAGCAATAAACTAAAAGCAGCAGAACTTGTGATTAAAAAAAAACTTAAGGGTTGGCATAAAGGAGCTTACTTCTGCAGGATGTCTTTGAGCTGGCTGGAACTGCAGATTGTGAGCAGCAGTGCCCAGGACCGCAGAGAATTTGTGTGGAGCTGGCTCATTTGAGGACTGATCGAAGGACAAGTGCCATCCGCCTTTGCATAGGACCGGGTGAACAGATTCTCAAAACACTCCATGGTCGCTTGCACATCCTAAAGAAGCAAACATCAGTAAGCTCTACTTATTACCACAAATAACATGTTTCCGACTTACTGAAAAAATTACTTGAGGCATGTTAGATTTCAGCAGCACATGTTTGCATGAGTGCCACTCATTGATATAGCATTATGTTAGAACTGATGAGTAATATATGACAAATGAATGTCAGACGTGCCACTGGTTTGCACTCAAGCCAAGACATGATCAGAAACTTACCAATATGTCATCCTCAGCAACTAATGTGCAGAGGCCCAGACTTGTTGCTACCTATTAAGAAACAAAATAAACAAAACCATATCAGTTGATATTTCATGGAAAAATCCAAAAATGTGGTAATCTTTTTTTATTAAGGGGGGTGCATTTATTAAAGGGGATCAGTACAATAAAAGACACTCACAGCCTGTCTGGCTTGTATGTTGGCTGATCCATCTGCCAGGATGTTTTTGAAGATCGGTTTCAGCGTCTTGAACACCTCCTCGCTCTCAATTCCTGAGCCCAGCTGGATGCACAGCAAACAGGCTAAAGAAGCTGCTGCTCGCTGCTCCTCACCTTTGCCTAACACGAGGAAGAAGAAAAAAGCCAAATGATTTATGAGCACGAAGACAAACATGTGCTTAGTTTAAAGCATTGGAACACCTGCCATCTCATTGACAGCAACACGTTTTTAGTACCTTTCTTGAGGCAGCGTTCAATACTGTCTGTGATGGTCATCCTTCTCTCTGAGATGAACTCATACAGGATGCGTGTAGCCATTGCCGTCTTAAGCCCATCTAGTGCCCCCTGTCTCGTCTTAGCACTGAGGAAAAAAAAATATACACATACATATATATATATCTCTCACCATAAAAGTGATAACCATTATACCATGAAGCCATTTATCAGAAAATACTGGCAACCCTCAGTACTACCCCTCAGCCTCCTAGTAGACACAACTATGATATCAATTACAAATAATACAAAACCCTGTTCTTGTGTTATCAGACTTACAAGATTATCAGAAAACTCTGACATCAACATCGAGGGTAATAACTATAAGTTATAAGTCTATAGCAGGTTTTTTCAGGATGCATGTGGCCAGTTTCAGCAGATGTATTCAACCAGCCATCACACAGCAGTTTCTCAAAGACATTGCCCTTTCAGGTAAACAAGTTGAGGTCAATTAGCTTGTTGATTTAATTTTTTTATTTATATATAATCTTAAGGTAATAACAAAAATATTTGTAAAAAAAAAAACCTATACAAAAAGTTAAGAATGTGACTTCACCCATTTACTTTTATATAAAAATGTTGTTTGACAAGTGAAAAGAATATCAGCTGAATAGATATAACAGATTTAGCAGCTTCTGGCACTTCTGGGGAATCCCTTCTATAATAATCACCCCACTGAGGAAGCCAATGGTGACAGGGCCTTTTTGGGATGAAGTCTATTTTTAAATTGACAAGCCTGCAAACTCCAATAAAAACTTCCTGCACTGGACTCACTGTTGCATACAACTCAAGTTACCCCGCGTTTTTAAAACTACATTTGAAATTTCTTGATACATGCTCATCATCCAGGTAAGGAAATCCCAAGTGTCCCACATAGCTTTTCCAGTGGGAGAAATGTTTTGTCACTTCAGAGTGAAGTACTTTTTGGGGTGTATTTGAAACATCAACCCTGTACCTTTGTTAAACTGGCAAGACAACATAGCAACGCTGCATAAAAGGGGAAAGCATTTCTAAATGGTGCAAGTGTTACCTAAAACTCTTGCTCTGACAGGATTAAGTAACTACATTGTTGATCTCTTGTAAAACTGGATCCAAGACAGAGGCAATATAGATCAGATAACATTTTGGTCATTTTACCTCTTATCTACTGTGCTATCTATGAACCCCTTCAGTTTATACTGGAAATCCTCCTGGGCTGAATCCTCATTGGTCTCACCACCTTAAAAACAAAAAAGCATTTAAGGAGGTCGTAAACAGACTTGTTTGATGTGTTTAAAGAACACACACGTTCAAACAGAGTACAGTCAGGGGTACACACAAACCTACCTTCATCTGCTACACTGGTGGTGTCACTGAAGCTGCTGCAATGACTGAGGGTCTCAATGGAGGCATCCTCATCACTAAAAGGCTGCACAGCCCCATGCTGGCCCCCTGAAAAACAAAACAAAGACACATAAGCACGGGCAATCAAATGTAATTCATTAACACAGAGCCGTAGGTCATTGTGAGTCAATTGTGTAATCCAAGCGTCAGGCAGCATACACTGTACTTAGGCAGCATACACTGTACTTATCTAATCAGCTGCCTGTCCGTTGCTATTGGCCTTTTCATTATCTCATCCAAAAATAAATATGCACCACGTTGTAAAAGTGTGCTGCCTGTGTCAACAAAATCTTCAGGTTGGAGGGGCACAGGCACATCAAAAATGACCTGAAACAACATTGTATGGGTAACCGGTATGGCCCGGCAACCGCAGCAACTGTCCAGCAAGAGGCAAACACAGTTTGGGTACAGCCGAAAAATACAGGAGTATCACGTCTAGTATTATGTCACTGAGGCATAGGAGGAAGTAGATTGTTTTACTAAGCAAAGTCCACATCAGACAAGTTACTATCAGACAATTTATTATCCACGTAGTAGGGACAACGTGGCTGAAACGGAACAGAGCGAAACACGATGTATTGGAAAATGTTCTGGTTACTATAATAGCTCTAGAGGGTGGGATGGGCAAAACATTCACAGCTAAAAGAGGCTGCTAAAATCTTGGGTGAGATCTTTACGAAACCTTATAAACAAACAAGGGTTTAATTTAATCCCACTTAAGGTGAACTCTGCTACTGCAAAAACTGGACAAACTTCCAACCCCACCCAGACTCAACAGGCTTCTCTGCCTTGACCTGAATTTACCTCTGGTAGACAGGTTTAGGTGAGCGTACGACGGCAGGAACCCGCCGCTTTTAGAACGCAATGTGAAAAATACTTCCGTTATTCATAACAATCAGATCTAAAAAAAATATTAGCTGAAAATAAAATATCCGTCTTTAAACTGATTAAAAATAGCTATTTAAGATCTGTGTGTTGACGTGGACTGTTTTCCCCACACGACAGCTGATTTCTGAAAACCGGGTGCCGCCTCCTTCCTCCCTCCGAGTCCAAAATGTCGGACTTGTGCCTCAAAAACAAATATATGCAGTATGTTTTTAAAAAAAAAAAAAAGACCCTTCCTCAGTGACACAATATGATACTCAGGCTTCAAAACTGCTAATCGGGTATCAATATCATTTTCCCACATAAGGCTAAAGATTAATCGAGGTCAAAGAATTCTAGTTTCGTGTGGTTTGCGTTATATACACTTTCACAAAAATCAAACGTATTGCTTTATAACATTTATGATGGTTATAATCGAATTCAAGGAAGAAAAAGCTTGGGTGTTTTACTCCTTCAAACGTTTATTTTTACTAAGCAACCACATGTGTCTCGCGTTGAAAGGGAGTGGGCATGAAGCTAGCCCTCGTTAGCTTGTGAAGTACAACAATTATTCAGGGCTTTTGTTGAGTAGCTCATGTTATACTATAATGTTGTGCTTTAAAGGCCCTTTACAGTAGCTTTCATATGACAGTATCAATACTATGATAGTACACTTTTTCATTAGCAGTGTTGCTTTGTGTGAGTACAGCTAGCTACGTTTTGTGTTTTGACCTAGGCCAGCCTCTACCTTTTGTAGTCCGTACTGTAAACACCTTCAGCTCCATTCGATGAACAAAGAACACGGAAAGAACTACAATTACCATCAACAAATACACAAGGCCGTAGCATAGCAGCCGCTAGTTTACTTACCCCTATTCTTTTTCTTGTTCCTCGGCATTTTCGTGCAGACAACTAGAAAATTTTAACCAAAAATCAGCCAATACACAACCAGCCTTTATTGTATTGTCTGGTAAAATGAAAATATTCCCTTGGCACAGTGGATAAAAAGAAATCGAAAGCGATCTTGGAGATAGACTGTGGGCCGAGACGATACATTTTCCCTCATAAACCAGGGCTACGTGAGTACAGCGCGGTTCTCAGTATTTATACGGCGGACATGTCACGAGGAGTTTTCCCGGCTTCGCTGGCCAATCCTGGAACAGGAAAGAGTGTCGCATGTGTTCGCGCGTGATGCAGTGACAGAAAGAGGGGAACTGTGAGTCCTGTTCTGTTATTTTGGGGAAAAACAATGTCTGTGTATACAAATTTGATACATTCTCCAAGACAAACCACGAAATCAAACGGCGTTTACGTTTACACAAAGTGTGATAACACCACATTAGACTGGTTACGTAAGTTTTAAAGTCGCAAGGTAGGAGGAGGAGGTGGAGATGGCTTTCAGCTCTGGTTGATTGGGACCCACAATAGCCCATCGTACAAGCTAAATAATAGTGAATAAATTCCACTGCAAGAAAAAACACATATTGTCTGACATAAAACATGTTATCACACAAGACAGTGATAATGTTCCACTGTGAGACTGCAAGTGTGCGTGTCTTGCAGTTGATCACATTATTATAGAGCTGTTGATGAGATCATGTTATGTATCTGTGATGAGACAAATATTGTCATTAGAGAATTGTGATGCAAAATGTTTCACTCGGATGGATTCATGTTTTTTATATAAAGTGGATTTGAAACTGTGCCTGTCTAGAAAGTTGAACAGTTATCGTCTACTTGACAGGGATGTGAAAGAGACTATCTTGGCTTTTCCCCTTTTAGTAGACAGGGACATCTGAGATACTTCTAGAAACCGAGCACTGCTTCAAAATTGTTGCATTCGTTTCAAAAGTGCACGAAGTAACACTGCTAGAGCCAATTAATTCTAGCTAGTTTTACACTGCTTCTGCATTTAGTGGCAGTTGCAATAGATGTCTAAAGAAAGACTGCACATTGTCAACTTTCTGCAGTTAAAAGTTAAAATGCTTAATCAGCCAAATATGAACCATTCCTAAATCTTGCACTCACTTGCCTCTTTGACAAATATAACTTGGGATTTTGTTTCATGTCACACTCACATGCCAAATATTAACTTTTTTCATTTTACATCTTTGCCTCTAAAAGCACAAACACAATAATAATGCAGTAACTACATTCCAAATCCAGCAATCAGCATTTTACTCCTAGTCAAATCACAGTATAGGGCTATTAGTTGTTCCTGCTATTGACTCCTTCTGGAGCTCCATGTATGCAGATTTGTTAATATTTGTTGGGCAGGATTGGTTCAACATAAAATGCCTATTTTTTTTTAAGCTGTCAAATTATTCAGACAGGTGCCGCTTGTACTTTTATAGCACTGTGCAAAAGTCTTGACCACCCGTTATTTCTTTATATCGTGCTTCCAGTTTTTAGTTTGTTTATTGAACCAAATAGCAAATAGTATCTTTGAACCAACAAGGTGATACCCAAAGTGCTATTAGCTGAAAACTTTGCATATCTTGGCACAGTGTGCAGTCTGACCTTCAAAAATCTGAGAAAACTGAACAAGTGGAGGGAAAAAATAGAAGTGTGAGGATCTAAAAAACACATTCAGTCGATGAAGAGTATTTGAAAGTCGTGTTCTTAAGAAATAAATTAAAACTTCAGTTTTCAGGAGGACATGGTCCCAAACACACTGACAGTGCAGTAAAAGCATACCTGTAACACTATCAGTCATGGATTGGCCTCCCCAAATCCAGAACAGAACCAAAGGCAGTCAACAACTAAAAAGCAGCTTTGAATGTCTTTCAAGAAGACTGGAGAACTACTTAAAGAAATTAAAAGAAATCTTACCTAAGAGAGTTCAGACTGTGTTAAGTTAGAATAAAGGTGATAATACCAAATATTGACCTTTAAGCTTGTTAGAGTTCATGTTTGGGCGTTATACACTGCAGTACGCATGTATTTACATGTATGTTTGCACAGTTCAATAAATCGCTAAACCTTTTTTTCTATTTCCCCAGCAAATTATAAAGAAATGAAGGGTGACTCAAGACTTGCACTGTGTTGTATTTTTAGCTAGTCAAATTTCAAAAACCGTATACAGGGTATTGGATACAATGTAATAGCCTGCGGTTTTTAGTGTATCCAATACACTGAGAACCACAGGCAATTGCAACATGCCTAAAAGCCTAATAATATTAGGCTGTTAGGCTATTAGGCATGTTGTGTTGTAATGCCTAATATCTTAATAAATATCTTTCAAATTACATAACCGTGAGCTTAGGTTGGCAGCTTTCCTTCTTTTCATTATTGAATTCTCTAGCTTTACCTTGAAACGACAGAAATAGGTCTTTCTTACACAAGTGGAAAATCTCACAGCTGCACCCTTCTTGCTGTTCCCACCGTGCTGTTGTTAGCAGCGTTTCATTTTTATGTTTGTTATGTTTGAATACAAACCTGCAGACTTTGAGTTTTCATGTGCCTGGTGTTTGACTATTGGAAGGCTTCCAGAGCTGCTTCCCTAACACGCACTCTTACACACTGGTCATAATCCTCATTTATTTCCTTTTTCAGTTCATTAATAAGCTGACTGTTCATAATGTTGCTGCCTGATGATGAATGGGGATAGGTTTGGGGTGTGTAGAATGTTGTCGTGTTTACTGTTGAATGTTGTCATTTTCTAATTTTTCAGTTGTGATAAGCATTTGTGTAAAAGTCGAAGTTAAAGTCTATTTAACATATTTTTAGTGTGCTTAAAATGGAACAACTTTAAATATGTACATGCAAGGTAGGTACATTATGTATAGAAAGACTTTTAAAAAAGAAAGAACACCTCTTGTGGTGTCTTTTAATCTTTGAATTCTCCTGTTTTCAGTCCCATAGGTGTGTAACAAATTCCTAGCCATGCAGTCTGCCTTTACAAACAGTTGCATGTGAATGGGTTGTTCTAAATGAATTCTAAAGAACTCATCGAAAAAAGGTGTTGGTCATTAACATCACAGGGACCAACGGGTGAAACCTCTGTGAGACAATGCCTCACTATCATGTGTGCTTGACTTGAAACTCCAAAGAAGGGAACACAACACTGCACTGTAGGTGGCTGATAAGCGACGATGTAAATCAGCACCTCTGTTTAACGATGGTCGTTCACAGTGGACATGGGAAGCCTCCTTTACTCCCCTCCCAAACAGTCATCACAATCCAAAAAGGTTTTCACACCTCAGTTCATGCAATGACTCACATGATCAATAGTGGGTTAACAACTTTTGAGAATACCTGCAAAGGAGACGACCCCCTCCCTGGAGGTTTACTTGGAGCTTCCCCATCAGCACAAAAACTGTGCCCCAGGAGCTTCGTGCCAAGGGTTTTTATGGCATTTACACCTTTTAATGAATAAACAATTATTTGAATTGCTTTTCTGAACATCTTCCAAAAAGACACATGAGAAAAACAACATACAAACTGTCACAGTGTGTGGAACCAGACTGTGTGGAGTGAGGAGGACCCACGTGCTGACACAAAAAAGAACAAAACTTAAGCTTAACAAAAAACAAGCTGTTTATTCAAGGCCAGTGAAACAGTACAAAACAAAAGGGCAAGGGTGAAATTAAGCTATAACCTAAACTGGGTGATCTAACGCCAACATAAAAAACCTGGAACATGAACATGGAAACCTGGCATTGAAAACCTGGAATGTGAAGCCTTGACATGAATATATGAAATCCCTGGAAACATGACATGAACATAGCAACAAGCAGGCTAAACAGACGACCGGACAAGGAATGAATGAAAACACAGAGACTAAATACACACAGGAGGTGATCAGGGGAAGTGGAAACACTCATACGAATGAACATAATGACGCCACAGGGGAAGTGAAACTGAACACAATGAACATGGGACACCAGACCTCTTCAAAATAAAACAGGAAACATAATGGGATTCAGACATGGCAACGCAAGCCTGATGTGATAGGCTGTATCCCAATTCAGGGTCTGCAGCCTTAAAGTACGCCCTTGTGGGCCGCGTACTCAAAGACCGCTAAGGCCGGAAGTGCGAGGCTTGTGAAATGGGACGGTCTAGCCTCCGTGGCGCTGCCCAGGTTGCCTAGCAACCATGCTACTAACAGCTGGAAACGTTTCATACAGCATTGTTTGACAGAAATGAAGGAGAAAATCTTTTGTTCATTTGTTTGTTTGTTTCTACATGAGCTTTGATCATTCTCTGTAAGATTAATCTCAGCTATTGAACGGCGTATATTTTAAAGTAAAGGCTTTAAAACCAAGTTAGTACAAACGTCACTAATGTCACATAACTTTGCAGACATGTGGCCAACAGTAATGTTTTAATGTTCTTCGTTATTAAACATTTGCACATAAATAAGTGACATAATATTCAGTACTTAAAATTTACTCTTCGGCCGCCCCTCATCCGCCGTTTTTTTTCGGCAAAATTATCCACACCCACCGCTGCGCTATGCATTCTGGGATATGTTGGGCCAAGAAGTCTACACCGTCACATCCTTCAAATTCAGGGAAATGAAGGACGCATTTGAGGGCCGCATTTCGAGCAGCCTTCGAATTGGGACAGCCTTCGTCGCGTCGCTGTGACGTAATCGGCCTTAAAATGCGGCCTTTATGGCTGCAGACCCTGAATTGGAATACAGCCATAGAAGGGGTAAAGACACAAGGGGAACCTAATAAACAATGAACTATAACAGGGTGATCTAGGCAAACCAGAATGAGCTTAAGATAACTAAATGATCTTAAACATAAATCATGAACCATCAAAATATATTCAAATTCAAAGCGCTGGGTCAAATGACCCAGGACCATGACACAAACATGTATAGAATACAGCTGTGTCCACATCTCGCAGAAACACCTTTAGCAGCAACAACTTCAAGTAATCATTTTCTGCATAACCTTACAAGTCTCTAACATCATTGTGAAGGAATTTTGGCTTTCCCTTCTTTGCTTCAGTTCATTGAGGTTTGAGCATTCAGGTTTGCAGGCACAGCTCTCTTAAGGTCCTGCCACAGCATTTCAATCCAGTTGAGTCTATTGCAACAGTCAGAGTTTTGTCTTTTCTTTTTCAGGCATTC